CAAATGGCATCCTTTATCTAGAGCTTATGAGTAAATAGATATTCAGAAAATGAATAGTTGGCCTCAGATCCAGCCTGCTTGGTCTTTCTGTCTCCATCCCTCGATTTCAAATGATTACTTTCCTTGGATTACACAAGAGCATAAAGGCTGAAAAAAATCCATATTACACATTTCCTCTCACTTTCTACATCTCGGGGTGAATAAATGGACATGCTTTTCCTCATTTCTCTTTATGTAAAGAAAATGAAAGGAGAGTGGGAGTCAAACTAACCAGTAGAATATGACATGACAAAAATAATGGGACCATGATACACAGACCGCTGGGGCCTTAGATATTATCTCATACAAACTTATTCATTTTATTCTTGAAGAAACTGAGGCACAGAAAAATAGTAGCAGCAACTAGTAAGGGGCAGAAGAAGCACTGGCACCCAGGACTTCTGACTTCTGATCTGACCTTATTCTATTGCTTCTCAACTTTTCTTATCTTTCCTGGAGACTGGTGGTAGCCCTGCTTCTAGAACCCCCAATTATCCCCACATAGGCTTAGACTGCTTTCTTGGGACCAGAAAATTAATAGGCTTAGCTTGAAACTGCCTGATGAGCCAACATCCCTTGCTTATGCAACTTCAGGACTGCATTTTACCGAGGACCTGGCTGCAGCTCCCTATTGTACCAACTAGCTTGAGGCCTTCAAACCAGAGCTTCACCAAGGGCTGTGGCTCATTTTTTTGCTCTCCTGTGTCTGAAAACACCTTCTCTGTATTACACACAAAGGTTGTTCCCACACGACCACTTTTTTTTCTTCACCCCCTCCCTCTACCTCCCATTTCCTCCCAAGTTAGTCATGATGAGTTCATACTTATACTCTGGCTCCCAGGCCTCTCCCTAAAGATGGTGTGTATGTAAAGGGAGTGTGAAGTTGAGAGACTGCAGAAGAAGATTCATTAAGGCATCATAGGAAAAGATGAGCTTTGGAGTGAAAGAGATGTGGGTTCAATTCTTGACTCTGCCAACTGACCAACTTTGTGAATTACTTAATCTTCAGCAAATTACTTAATCTCTGAAATCTGTCACCAAAAAAGTTGTGCTGTCTGGAAAGCAGCAACCTCACCTATATAACTGGGGTAGTGACACTTGGCTTATAGTGAGAATTAATGAGATAAAGTACCAAAAGCATCCCACACAGAGCCTGGTGGTCAACAAAATGTTGGTTTTGTCAATGCAGTGGCCTGAGAAATCCTGGGTGCCTACCTGTAGGCCTGCAGATGAGCTAACACAAATGAGAGCATGTGGGTGTCAGTATCTGATGGCATCTGAGGTATGAAGTGAGAAGGAGAGAGGAGGAACCTTAGGGAGGGTGTGGATATATGCATTTATGAAGAGAAGAGTTCCAGTATCAGCGTGTAAATAAGTGTGGTCCTGCTGAGCCTTTCTTTCTCCAAAATTTCCCCTCTTTTTAAAGAAAATCTATATCTGTTCTTGTTAGTGACAAATTAAAAAAAAAAAACCCAAAAAAACCAAACCCTTCTCAGGGAAGGCAAGGAATGATCCACTCCACAAGGCTTATCCAAGCGAAGCAAACTCAAGAGAGGCTGGACTCTGGCAGAAACCAGGAAACCTTCTCCCAGTTAGTAAAAAAAAAAAACAAAACCCACAAAAGGTGTTCAAAGGGGCAGTGACCTCTCTGTTGGCTTTCCCCAGCCTTATCCTAAGCACAAGGGTTTCTCAAGCTTCAGAAAGATTACACAGGGAGCCAAACCCACTGGGCCTGTGAAGTGGGCACCTCTGGGCTGGGCTGGTGGGGCCATATTTGATGTAGGATGGGTTCCTCCTATACATCTTGTTCAAGGGCCTGTGGCTGGGATCCTCAGTCCTCAGGAAAGAAAGCACAGGGCGCAGGCCCCATCCCAACCTGCTTAGGACTGTTCTTCAAGATACAGAATCCTTGGGAATCCACCTCCACCCTCTTGCCCTTGAAGCAAACATGGCCCAGCTATCCTTAGATAAGAATCTGTCTCATATTTAAAGACCATGAGTAAACAGCTGATTCTAACAGTATCCTTCCCTTGGTAGCTGTTCCAGTGTTTAACAAACCAATCGGCTACAAGTACTTCCTCATAGCCAACCTAGATGACTCCTTAACTGAAGCTCTGTTAGCAAACTTCCCCAATGAACAAGATTGCAGAAGTTGCCTGCATAAGAGGTTTTGGCTCAGGACTCAGGTTTATTCCTCTCTTTTATGGTGAAGGATATATTCAGAGTTAACAACCCTTTAGAAAATGTTAGTAGTGACATCAAGTTACTCTACAGATAAAGGAGAAAAACGTGTCTGAGTTTCACTTCTAGCTCCCCATCTGCCCACCCAGACTTCCATATAAACCTGGACTCAGTATTTCAGAGTGGGAAGGAACACTAGTGGTTATCCAATTCACCACCACATTGGGATTATCTTCCCTTCCCCATGACTATTTCCCTCTCCAATATACTTTGCTCTTCCTGACAAACTTCTACTCACTTTTCAGAGCTAGACACAAATAGTACCTTCACCATGAAGCCTGCCCTGAGATCCCAGGAATAATTAATTGTTCCCATTTCTGTTTGACACCATGCTTTTTACATACCTCTAGGTACCATGAATAAGACTGTACTGTAAGTACTCACTGAAGATGTAATGGGGTGCAGAGTAGGGTGGGGGTCTCCCAAAATATTCCCTGGCTGGGGGACCCCCAATATCCCCATGGTTGGGGGATGGGAAAAGGGATTATACAGTGGTTAAGATACTTTTCATAATAATAGCTTGTCAATAGCTGTGCTGCCACCCTGGGTAAAAGGTCTATGTGACTTTCAGACTGTATAGTGACTCATGCCATGGCTGGGGAAACTTATACAGTGCCTGCATGAGAGGCAGGGAGACAGAGGCTCCATTTTCACTGGGTACTCTTGCCCTTACTAAAGGTGGCAGCTGAAAGAAAGTGGAAAATACGGGGGAACTGGCAAAAGTGGTTCATTGTAGGAGGGGCCAGTCATGAGTCACTATACAGTCTGAATAGGGGCAGCATTTAAAATCAGGGCAAGCTGAAAGAGAAGGAGCTGGTCTGCCATGAGAGCTGAGAGAATAGGTAGCAACCATGAGGAAAGAGGCATGATGTAGGGGGATCTGGCCATGAAATCTGAGAGAGAAAGCAGCAAGAAGCTATGCAGTTTGTAGTCCGGATTCCACCATGAGGACCGGTGCATAAGGTAGAAGCCACGCTGTCTGGGAGTCAGGATTTTGCCATGAGGGTTGAGGAAAGGGTATAAAGAAAGAGCTGAGGAGCTGTGGGGGAACTTGTTGAACTAAGCACAGATTAGTGAGAGATGCCTGGAACACTGAACTGTGGCTGGGATTGCTGAGACTTTAGACTTTTGCTTCTCTGAAGGACATACAGAGAAGCCACTTTCTTGGGATGTGTGTCTTCCTGTACTCTATTGTGATCCAGTGTAACATGGCACATGTTTTCCTGGAATACTACATGGAGGCTGAGGACAATGTATCCCAGATACTGAAGGAGAGACGTGCTGTGAGAAGATGGCGACTCTGCAACCCACATGTGCAGATTCCAGATGGGATGGAGAACTGTGGGCACAGCCGGCTTAAGAAGAGATAAGGATAGGGGGATCTTTTGGGTATGTTTTTGGCTTACAGTCTGGTGGGGAGCAAGGGAGGTGCTGGGCCGTGTGGGAGAACAGGGCTCCAAGCAGGAGTGCCCCCAGCACCCCTGAGGTTGGAATCCTGTAGATAAAAACCCATTTCCTTCAACACTAATTTTTGGGTCATGCATCAAGGTGAAATGTGGATGGGCCCCGGTTTGCTCAGCTATAGAGAATCTCCTACCCTCCCTGGCTCCCTCCCTCCTGTTCCTTCTCATTCTCCCTTTATTTCTATTCTCCCACACTTTATATTAGACTGTGAGCTTCTCCAGTGCAGAAACCATGTCTTAATTTTCTTTGTATTTCCACACATGATACAGCACATGTTTTCCCCAACCCTACCCCAAATTTATGGAATAAATTCATTCTTCAGCTGAGAAAATTCAGACCAAACATATTAAGTACCTTGACCAAGGTTATATAGCTGGTTAGAGGCAGAAACAGGACCGAAACCCAGGCTTCTGGTTTTGTATCTAATTCTCATCTCTCTGATTCACTCTACAGTCCCCCATTATTGCTCTCTGCTTGTCTCCACCTTAGACTTCCTCCTCTCAACAAACCCTTACACTTTCTGCTTCTGACATCATACCCTGTCCCAGCCCTCTCCTCCATGCTTCCCATCATCCTCTGGCCCTAAGAGAAAAGTCCTCTCTTTCCTCTTTACTCTTTCTATTCACCCACATCCATGCATCCTGCCATCCATCCAGCGCTGCCTTACCCCACCCGAAGTCCTCCCTGATTAACTCCAACCCACCCAACTCAATTTCCTTCAAAGGTACCAAGTTTGTGCCTATATTGTCCCACTGAGCTGGGTCACTCTCTCCTTTCTGAGCTCTTTTTGTTCTGTTACTTCTGTTTTGCCCACTATCTTTTTCCTGTATACTAGGAGCTATATAGGGAATCCAGGTACTCCATACTTTGTACCTCCATAAATCCTTCTACACACAGTCAGACCATGTAAATATACTTGTCCAAGAGGCAACTCAGGTTTTGCTTCAACAGGAAAATAGCTGTTTTAGATTCTGACCACATCTGGCATGTGATCAATTCTAAATCAGTGCTACATTTGTCAGTACTCTTTTGAGGGCACAGTGAAAAGGAGACCCAGCCATTGGATTGTGCGTTGAAAAGGGGTTGGAGGCAAAAGGCCTTTAAAGGCCCTCCCAATCTTCAAAGTCTTCAAGGGCACAACTCTGCAAATAACATCTTCAAATTTTACTTGATATTCTTTGTTTCTCCCACACCTGACATAGTACAAATGACCCTCAAAATTGATAGAATAAAGATTTTGTTCTGAAAGTCCTTACCTGCCTGTTGAAATCTAGGCTGTTTCGATCATTTCCTGGAAGAGATTAAAAAAATATATTAGTTGTTAGTAGGATTAGAAGAGACTGAAGGTTAGGGGAAAATTAGGATGGTGAGAGAAGTTTGTCTTTATTTTGAAAAAGAATAGCCACTTTCCCTATGTCCAGGGCCCTCCTACTTATCCTGTTTCTTAAAAATGTTTTGGAAACTTTTCTCCAGAAAGGCAGATAACCAGGGAAAGGGTAGACTGACTTATCCAATGTCATAAAGAGTCAACTGGAATTAGAACTTGCCATACCAGAGAGTGAGTTCTGTGGCACTCCTTCAGACAGTAGCTATTATAGATGCTTTCATGTGTAAGCAAGGAATGACCAGCCATGCATCCTAAAGGAATTGCCATAAGGCAAGAAGTCCTCCAACATCCTAGCCCTCCAGGGATAATGACATCTAAGCCATGCCAGGTAGACAGGTGTCAGTCTTGTTTTTTTCCTACCTCCTAACTTTCATTTCTTGTCTTGTTCACCTTTTTTCCTTTTACAATAAAAGTTTGGCTGAAAAAGTAAGTGTGTGGTAAATAAAGAACACTTTTGGTACAGAAAAAGTACATAGTAGCAGAAAAATCACTCCGCTGAAAGGCAACTCTAATTAATATTTTTGTATATTTGATGGTTGTTTTTATGCTTCTTTTTTTCTTTGATAAATACTACTGTGCATTGATTATTACCACAGTTTTTCTAGTGAGCATCACAAATATTTCTCCTATACTATTAAGGAGCATTGAAAATATTTCACTATGCTAGCAAACATCATTTTTAATGGCTACCTAATATTCCATTCTATATACATACATACTATGATTTGCTCAAACATATAACTATTGTTTGGGAAATTATTTTAATTCTTTGCTGGGATAAAGTTTTCTATTCATACAGCTTTTTAGGGCAGCAGTAGCCAAACAACATTTCTTTGGGCCTCATGGATTGTTGGCTTTATAGAGCCAAGGAAAATGGCTATTACCAGACAAGAAAAAGCCAAAGGACTTCACCACCACCAAATGTTAGTGGAATTTTTAAAGAAGAAAAACAGGGTAAAAAATGACAGCACAGGTAAACATGGCTCACCTCCTTGCACAACCACATCAAATTACAACAAAAATACAGGATGACCAAAACTCAACCAACAGAAATCGAGTTGAGTGGAAGTCTGACAACTATAGAATGAAAGAGCCACACCCATCCAGACTGGTAGGAGGGGTGGAGACACGGAAAGGGGTGGTCCCACATCTAAGTGTGGTGCATAAAAATTCGGGAGGGGTATCTTGGGAGAGAGATGACCCAGCCCCACACCAGGAACCTCAGTCCCGAATTTCAGTGCCAGGAAGATAAACCCCCATAAATTCTGCCTGGAAAAAACCAGTGGGGGCTGAGTCGGTGGGAGAAACTTCTGGAGTCCCAAGCAGTTCTCCCTAAAGAACCCACATGTGGACTTACTCAGACTCAATTCCTCTGAACTCTAGCACCTGGGTAGCAGCTTGAAAGGCACTACTGGCATACAGGAAGGAACTGAAGTGTGTGGCATAAAGGCAGGAGTTGGGGGTCAGCTTTCTCCCAGGCAGAAAGGTGGGCAGAAAAAGCCATTGTCCCTTTTCTGAGCCCTCCCCACAAAGAGCCACAGAACCAGCAGGCAGGAACCATATCTGAGACACCATCAACCTAGCTAACATTGTTTGCCCTGCTCTGGAGATCCCCTCAGACTCCATCCTACCTAACTTATAGGCCCACCCAAACTGTTAACTGTGACTTTTCCATATGGATAGCTGGATTTGGCTCATGCTTCACAACTTCTACAATCCTTTCAAACAAGCAAGAGCCAGCTTCAGTTAGCCCTCGGTCCCCATACATTTTGCTAGGTGGCCCCAGGCCAAGCACTAGCAGTGGCCAGCCTAGATTCATAGCTTCACTTCACCTGGGAATCTCCAAGCCCAGCACAAGTAGCAGCCATCTCTGATTGCTTTATAACTCAGGCAGGGTGGCCCTGGGCAGAACACAGGTTGGGACTTACTTGGACCTGCACCACCTGGGCAATCCCAGAGTGTGAGGGCTCAGTGGACAGAACAGACCACGTTGGAACACCACCACTCTTCTTCTGTGAAGCTGATCCTCCATGGAAGGAGGAGGTTGGAGGTTAGTGGTCACAGCCAGTCCTTACCATGGCTGGCCTGGACAAATTCCTCCCATTGACCTGGCAACAGCAATCAAGGCTCAACTACAAGAGGAAGTATACTCATCTCACACAGAGGACACACCTTGAGTACCCAGCTTGGGTGGTAGAAGGGTCTGTGCCACTAGGCCTTATGCGACACCTACTACATTAGGCCACACTACCAAGTCAAGGAGTCATAGCAGCTCTACCTAATACATAGAAACAAACACAGAGAGGCTGCCAAAATGAGCAGAAAAGAAACATGGCTGAAATGAAAGAACAGATCAAAACTCCAGAAAAACAACTAAGCAATCTGTCAGATGGAGAGTTAAAAACACTGGTTATAAGGATGTTCAAGGAACTTAGTGAGGACCTCAGCACAGTGGAAAGAAAAAGAAAGCTACAGTCAGAAATGAAGGGTAACTAATTGAAAATAAGAACAAGTTAGAGGGAAATGACAATAGAGTGGATGAAGCTGAGAATCAAGTCAATGATTTGGAACATAAGGAAGCAAAACAAACAAACAAAAAAAAAACAAAAAACAAAACCACATCTGATCAGAATAAGGAGAAAAAAGAATTAAAAAAATGAGGATAGCATAAGCAGCCTCTGGGACAACTTCAAGCACTCCAACATTCACATCATAGAGATGCCAAAAGGAGAAGAGAATGAGCAAGAAATTGGAAATCTATTTGAAAAAAATAATGAAAAAAAAAACTTCCTTAATTTTGTGAAGGAAATGGACATGCAAGTCCAGGAAGCACAGAAGGTCCCAAAGAAGTTGGATTGAAAAAGGCTCTCTCCAAGACACATCATAATTAAATTGCCAAGGGTTAAAGATAAAGTGATAATCTTAAAAGCAGCAAGAGAAAAGCAGTTAGTTACTTACAAGAGCGTTCCCACAAGACTGTCAGCTGATTTCTCAAAGGAAACTTTGCAGGTTAGAATGGATTGACAAGAAATATGCAAAGTTGTGAAAAGCAGGGACATACAGCCAAGATTGTGTTACCCAGCAAACCTATTATTTATAATAGAAGGGCAGATAAAGATCTTCCAAGGCAAGAAAAAAAATAAAGGAGTATATCATTACCAATTCATTATTATATGAAATGTTAAAGGGACTTATTTAAGAAAAAAAAGAAGACCAAAACTATGAACAATAAAATGGTAATAAATACATATCTATTAACAGTTGAACCTAAAAAACAAACTAGGCAGACAAGAAGAACAGAGACAGAATCATGGATACGGAGAGCGTTTTGATGGTTGCTGGATGGGAGAGAGGTTATGGAAGAATGGATGAAGAGGTGAGGGGATTAAGAAGTACAAATAGGTAGTTATAGAATAGCCATGGGGATGTAAAGTACAATATAGGAAATGAAGTAGCCAAAGAACTTATATGCATGATCCATGGACATGAACAATGGTATGGGGATTGCCTGAGAGAGTGGGAGTGCTGGGTGGAAGGAGGCAAAGGGGAAAAATTGGGACAACTGTAACAGCATTATCAATAAAATAGAATTAAAAAGAAGAGGAAAAACAAATAAAAATGTGACTAATAAAATGGCAATAAGTACATACCTATCAATAATTACTCTAAGTGTAAGCAAAATAAGTGCTCCAGTCAAAGAACATAGGGTGGCTAAATAGACCAGAAAGCAAGACCCATACATATGCCACCTACAAGAGATGCACTTCAGCTCAAAAGACAACACAGACTGAAAGTAAAGGGATGGAAAAATATTTTTTATGAAAGTGGAAAAAAATAGAGCAGTAATACTTATACAAGACAAAATAGTCTTTAAAACAAAGGCAATAACAAGACACACAAAAAAGACACTTTTATAATGATAAAGGTATCAGCCTAACAAGAGGATATAGCACCTATAAACATTAATGTGCCCACAGTAGGAGCACCTGAATACATAAAACAAATATTAATGGACATAAAGAGACAGAGTCACGGTAATACAGTAATGGAAGAAGACTTTAATACCCCATTGATGTCCATGGATAGGTCATCCAGAGAGCAAATAAAAAAGAAAAGTATGGCTTTAAATAGCAAAATAGACCAGATGAATTTAATGCTATTTGAACATTTCATGCCAAAGGAGCAGAATATACATTCTTTTCGAGTGCACACAGAACATTTTCCAGAATGGACCACGTGTTTTCAAAACATGTCTGAACAAACTTAAGAAGGTTGAAATAAGATCAAGCATCATTTCCAATAACAATGATATGAAATTAGAAGCCAATAACAAAAAGAAAACTGAAAAACACACAAACACATGGAGGCCAAATAACATGCTACTAAACAATGAATGGGTTAACAATGAGATCAAGGAAGAAACTGAAAGAGACCTTGAGACAAAAGAAAGTGAAAAACACAACAACCTCTAATTTATGGGACTCAGCCAAAGCAGTTCTAAGAGGAAAGTCATAGCAATATAGGCCAACCTCAAGAAGTAAGACAATTTTCAAATAAACAATCTAACCTTATACCTAAAGGAAGTAGAAAAATAACAACAAACAAAAAGTGAGTAGAAGGAGGGAAACAATAAAGATCAGAATAAAAATAATGAAGACAGAGTCTAAAAAGAACAATACAAAAGATCAATGAAACCAAGAGCTGGATTTTTGAAAAGATAAACAAGACTAATAGACCCTTAACCAGACTCATCAAGAAAAAGAGAGAGAGAGATCAAATGAATATAGTCTGAAAAAAAAAAAAGGACTAGTAACAACCAACACCACAGAAATACAAAAAATTAGAGGAAAATTCTACAATTGTATGTCAACTAATTGAACAAACATGAAGAAATAGATGAATTC